GCAACATTTAAAAGGTGTTGATGCTTCCTTTCAACAACGGAATTTTGTTGTGGCCTTTCAACACAAGAGAATTGATGTAAAGTTCCTTGTTCATTAAAGAATTCAGTGAAAGATAATTCTTTGGCATTATCTGATCTGAATGTCTTAATGATAACACCAAATTGGGTTTTGACCATTTTAAAGAATCTTGGAACAACCAATTGAGCCTCTGATTTTTGTCTAATGAGATATATCCATGTGAACCTTGAACAATCATCAACCAAAGTGACAAAATATCTATACCCTTGATGAGAATTAACACTGTAAGGTCCCCAAATGTCACAGTGTACAAGATCAAATGGTTTTGATGTAATATTGTTCAAACAAGGAAACGACAATTTCTTCTGTTTAGCTAAAGGACATATATGACAATGAACTTTATCTAAATCTTTATTTGAAACAAGAATACTATCCAACATCTTGAGTTTATTTGCAGATGGATGCCCAAATCTTTGATGCCACTTGTGACAAGAAACAGCAGCAGCATTAACAGATACAGGCAAAGTAGAGGGTAAAACAGTAAAAACATCTTCATGCAGCACATAAAGTCCAGCTTGCACTTTACCCTTGCCAATCATCAACTTGTTCTTGATCTGCTTAATTGAAGCAAAATCATGATAAAATTCTACTGCAATTGTCCTTTCATTAGTCAGACATGAAACTGAGATGAGATTAAGTTCAAATTGTGGGACAAAAAGAACATCTCTAAGAAATAGAGTATCACTTAATTTGATATTTCCCATCAATTGAACTGTAATTCTTGATCGATTTGGTAATAATACTCTGGTATTTGCAATTTGTTTCATATCAGTAAACAAATGTTTATCGTTGCAAATATGGCGGGTAGCTCCTGAATCTAAGACCCAAACATTTGATTGATAATGTCCAGAGTTCAGATTAAGGATATAATGAGTACCTGTGTGAAATTCAGTAGCAGTAGTGACCATATTGGTGGATGCTAACTTTCCAGAGAGCAGAGCAATGAGTTGCTGACACTGAGAATTGGTGAGACCTGTCACTACATCATTTGTATCCAAAGAAGAGGAACTAGCATGATTATCAATTTCAATTGGTGAATTGAAAGATACAGAGTTGACCCGATTATCTCTTGTTGACTGATTGTTCTTATATCCAGGAGGAAATCCATGTAAACGATAACATTTCTCTTGTGTGTGTCCTGTTCTTTTACAATGAGTGCAGAAAGAAGATTTGTTTCCATTATTCTTGTGATTAGGATTAAAACGAGATTTATTACCATTGTTGTTAGTAAAACCATCATTATTACTTCGTACATTGAAAGCCATAGGAGAAGAACTAGATTGCAACATTCCAACATCTCGTTGTCGTTCTTCTTGAATGATTAGAGAGAAAATTTTGTTCACCGATGGAATTGGATCCATCAATAGGATTTGACCACGAACTTGAGCATAACTTTCATTTAATCCCATTAGAAAACTCATGGTTTGTTCAACTTCTCTAGCACCTCCGCATATACACAGGCCACAGGTACATTTTGCATTATAGTTGGACAATTCCTCCCATAGAACTTTGAGTTTAGTGAAGTAATTACTAATCGAGTCTTGTCCTTGAACAAGATTCATAAGATCTCTCTTGATTTGGAAAACCCTAGGGCCATTACTCTGCTGAAATCGTTCTTTGAGTTCCTTCCAAATCGCCTGCGCAGTATCCAAATAGATCACAGAAGCAGATATTTCCTTAGAAACCGAGTTCAGAATCCATGAGATCACTATATTGTTGTTCCTAATCCACGACTTGAGTTTTGCTGGATCAGAATTATCAGGTCTTGGAAGTGTACCATCAACAAAATCAATTTTGTTCTTGACAGATAACGAGATTGTCATTGACCTACTCCACGATGCATAATTTTCACCGGTAAGAACTTGAGAAACAAGAACTAACCCAGGGTTATCAGAATGATGCAAATAATATGGATCATTTGCGGAATTTTGATCCAAAGATTGATTTGAATTACTACTATTCGATGAATTAGGCATTGTGAAATTTGGAATTCAATCGAATAATGAAGAATTCAAAGAAGCACAAAACAATCAATGAAAACAGAAAATCGATTGTGAACAAGAACAATCGATGATGAAGATTGAAAGATAAATTTGAATTTGAGTAAAGAACGGAAGTCGCTCTGATACCATAACAAGAATTTGAAATGAGAAACTGAAGATTGTATTTTTCTCTCTACCATTACAATGATCTGGAAGCAATATATATATATATATTGTACAGGGAATGCTAAAATGAACCACTAATGTAAGCCTAACTGATTGTAATAGAAAGAAACATCTAGCTAACTATTTACAGCTGTTGGCATGGCATTGAGAACACGTGGACATGGCTTGATAGTCCTAACAACATGTGGACTGCTTTTCGAAGGATTTTGAAACCAAAATAAAGATTTTATGCACCATATTTGTCGGCAATCTGCTTCTAAACCTGTACGTTATTGAAAACACAAGAAACACATTAAGTAAAGGAACAATTTTGCCTGAGGCTTTGGCCTCTTTTGCCAAAAGTAAAGGAACAACGAATTTCATCATGTCTGTATAGAAACATGGAAACCCAACCAGTAATTGGACAACTGAAGTAAATATATAATAAATAAGAGAACATAGGAACTGCTAGAAAAATGAAATGAAGGCCAGTTCTGATCAAGAAAACAAGAACTGGCTACAGAGATTATCAAGAAGGCAAGATCATTGTTGCAAAGGAGTTTAGACGATTCAGTTTAAAGAACAATATTTTTATAGAACAATAGACCACTTTAAGGTTGAAGCATATGAAATTCTAGCATAGGCAATTTAAAAATGAAAAATTAAACATAATAAAAACTTTTAAAATTAAATAATATTATAAAGAATATATTTTCTAGTTAATGTACAAATTAAAATTAAAATTAAATAGATGTGGTGAATCTTTCAAAGAAGATTTGTGTAATTCAAAATTGCATTTACAAAATAAATTATATTGCAATTTTTCTTCCCATTGTAGCACCTTGAGTTCTCGATATGTATCTTGTTTTGACTTAAACTACTTATTTATCTGAAATCTAAAAAACTGAAAAGCTGGGGGATGCGGGACGTCCATTTAAAGGACGTGGTGCGTCCCAGCCCATGGGTTTATGATGTTTTTTAGGGTTTTGTGTGTATTTAAGGGGCACAAACTCGTAAGTTTTCGTCATTCACAGCCTCCGTCACCCCTTGAATGACCCTTGTGAAACCCTAGCCTCCATTGAAGGGGTTTGTATCCATTTTTGATGTGTTATGTGGTTCTAGAGTGAAGGAATCAAGAAAGATTGATGATAAAAGCCTTGCATCTAAAGTAATCAACCCTCATACCACTTTTGGACCATTATAAGTCATAAATATCCAAACTTTATTTCACTTCATCCATAGATCTAAGAGTTAATGGTGTTTTTGGTTCATTTTAATGAGTTTTGGTCCCTTTGTGGCTTGTTCCATTGCGTTTGAAGAACTCCATGAGCTTTGATTCAAGTTTAAGTATAGATCTTATCATTTGATGGAGTAAAGAGTGCATGTAAGAGCTCTCTTTGCTCTACGCATGTAGAAAGGTGTATTTTTGGACATTTTATAAGCTAGGGTTTTAGATCTTGCTTGTTTGGAGCATCTTAATGGATAAAGTTTGAAACTTTATCCATCTAGACACTTTTATGAGTTAAATCCGAGATTTGGAACCCTTTACTTAATGGTTTAAGTAAAAAATCAAAGGAAATTGAGTTTGGACGCGAGGCGTCTTTTCAGATTCAGACTATTTTGTCTTTTAGTGAGCGTCCCTGCTCCTCGACAGCTTCATTTTGATGCTGCTTTACACATACTTCGTTATCTCAAAGCTACCCTGGGTCAAGGCATTTTTTTTACCTTCCACCGGAAATCTTACTTTAGGAGGTGCTCCTGTTTCCTAGAAAACAAAGCAACAATCGATTGTCTCCAGGTCATCATCTGCAGAGGCTGAATATCGAGCCATGGCTTCCACTATCAGTGGAATCTTATGGATTTGTTGGTTATTGAAAGATTTAGACTCCCCCTAATCGGGTTTGACTCCTCTTTAATGCGATAACCAGGCAACAAGACATATTGCCAACAACCCAGTCTTCTATGAACGCACCAAACATGTAGAGATGAATTGTTTTTTTGTACGTGAACACATTGAGTCTCGTCAAATTCAAACCTATGTTATCAGCACTAATGAACAAGTTGCAGATCTCTTCACCAAACCTCTTGGTACTGATAGGTTTCGTTATCTTCTTAACAAGTTGGGCGTTCGCAATATTCTCGCTCAAACTTAAGGGTGAGTAAAGGATATCATATCAGATATAGCCCATCTGATTTCTTCTCTTCATGGCTTTATCTTACTTTTAGTCTTTATCTAGTTTCCTACTTTGTTTAGATTTTATAAATATTCTTGGCTTCTGTTTTGAGAAGCAACTTTTGATCAAATAATAAAACCTAAGAACCCACGTTGGGTTTCTTCATTTTTTCACAAGAGAACGAAACATGTTGAGATGAATTGTTATTTTGTTCGAGAGTGGGTTGAATCCAAAGAAATATTGTTGCTGACCTCTTCATGAAAGTCTTATGGACAACCCGTATCCAGTTCCTCGTTCACAAGTTGAGGATTTGTAACCTTCACATGCCAACTTGAGGGGCAGTGAAAGATCATTCTGATTTTTCATTAATATTCTTGTTTATGGAGAGTCGGTCAATAGCAGTTCCACCCCCTGTGTTTCCTTTTTTTTGCAACATGATTATGTGATTATAGGCTAAATTAGCTCTATGAGTTTGTATATATTCTATATCTTTGTTCTTCTTTTAAATTCAAGATATTTTATACAGAGCAAAATTTCTCACATTTTTCAAGTGTATATTCCATTTTCTACAAATATTTCAGAAATTTAGAAAAACATTGATGAAACTCGTATATGCAATTTACAAACATATTTTCACAACAACAAATCATGAGAAAGAATAACAACATTCTCTACACAGATGAATCTACCCATGGATCATCTATAGTGGTGCTCCGTGGGAGTTGACTTTCGGGCGATATAATAGAAGAGCGTGTTTGAGTTTGACTATCTTGTGATATGATTTCAAAGGCTCTAAACCTCATGGCATCATCCATTCCATTCCGTTTCACCACTGATGGTTGAACTGGAATCTTCCCGTCCAACATATTCACCACCGCTGACATGGCAGGCCTGAGTGACGGTGATGGATTCGTGCACAGTAAGGCCACGTCCAACATTCTCATTGCCTCCTTTTTAGAGTAATGTGAACCGAGTATGGGGTCCACAAGTTCGAGTAGATTTCCTTGCTCTTGTAAAACATAGGCCTTCAAGTTAACCAACACACATAGGAAAGGTTATTAGATGCAATGGAAATTATAAAAAAGAAAAACTCAAAAAACATAAAAGTTTTCTTGAGAATATCCCAATATTATATTTCCTTTTATTTATTGTTCTAAGACCTTAGAGAACCAACCAGATGGATAATTCTCATATTTTTATTTCATCCCACCATCACTTTTAATCACATTTCCGTTTTTTTGTATATGTATTTTAAAAGAACTTTCATCAAGATAAGTGAAATGCCATCAATATGAACGACACATAAATATAGCTACATACTTGACAATTTTACCATTTTTTATATTTTTTAAAGAAATAAACCCAACATAATTATAATTATAACTACATATAATATTTGTTTACATCAAGTTTAATTGTTATGTTAATGAGCATTGTATCGTCTTCGTGTTATATTATAGTCCTATTTTTTCAAATATCAAATATCGTAATGTTTTTATTAGATAAACGGGACCCACAAGGAAAGAAAATGAAAGAGAAAAGTTGGAAGTTAAATTACCCAATCAAGAAGGTAGACAAACTCCTCTTTTGGCCGGTAATTCGTATTACTTTTCCCGCTCACAATCTCTAAAGCCACGATTCCAAAGCTGTAAACATCTGCTTTATCCGTCAAGTATCCTCTCATAGCATATTCTGGAGCCATATATCCGCTGCAAATCCAATTAAATTAATAATAAATAAACAATATATATGAATGAAAAACAGTAGTACTTAAACATACTACTCACATTGTTCCAGCGATCCGTGTGCTAATATGTGTGTTTTCTCCTTCATCAAGTTTGGCAAGACCAAAGTCTGATATTTTGGCATTAAGGTCCTTATCAAGAAGCACATTGGTGGCTTTTATGTCTCTGTGAACAATTTTCAACCTCGATTCCTCATGTAAATAAGCCAACCCTTTGGCCACTTGTGTACATATCTTTTGTCTTGTTTTCCAGTCTAAATTAAGCCGCTGGTCTTCTTTACCTGTTATGACAAAAAAAAAAAAAATCATCATCCATCAACAATTCACCACAATAATAAGATGTGAGAAATTGAGAATAAGTATTTAATTACCAAAAAGAGCACGTGCAAGGCTATTGTTTTCTAGGTATTCGTATATCAGTAACAGTTGGTTTCCTTCTATACAACAGCCGTAAAGTTTAACAAGATTTGGATGTTGTAAAGCGGATATCATGCCTATTTCAGTCACAAATTCTCGGTTTCCTTGTTTTGACTTTGAGGAGAGTTGCTTAACAGCGATTGTGGACCCATCTGCGAGTACGCCCTATATATAGTCAAAATTACATATGGTAAAAGTCAGAACAGAACTTTGACGTTAATGTTAAGGGTGAGCATGGTGCGGTTTAGGGCCAAACCGAACTGCAAACCGCAAGGTGCGGTTTTTGAATTCTAGAAACCGTTGGGTGCGGTTTTTCAATGGTTCGGTTTTGCGGTTTTTGAGTGCGGTTTCGGTTTGTACCGGTTCGGTGTCGGTTTTAAACCGATTCAAACATATGGTGCGGTTTTTTATATTCACCGGTACAATTTTTTTAACCGTGGTGTTCATGTGAAGCTTTATGATTGCATGACATGCTATCATTTCGTTTCCTCACATTTAAAAGCTGTAATTTTGAGTTGTTTATGTTGTTTACTTGATCACTTCATTTGCAACCCATATTCCCAAACTCATTTTTTTATTCAATTTGTGCTTAGAGGTTAAAAGCTTGCAACTTGTAGCCCACATAGTATTTACAGTTTACACATAATCATTAAGTCACAAACACAAAGTGACAAACTCACATATTAAACCTAATATCTAATTACTAATTACCGTCAAGTTCAATATATAATATATGTATAAATTAGAATTTATTAGTTTTTTAAATAATGTGTATAATTGTATAATATAAATTAGTGATTTATTTTATTGTTAATAAGCTTGCGGTGCGGTGCGGTGCGGTTCGGTTTTGGTGGTCCGGTTTTTAGATAAAAACCGCACCGCACCAATAAATTCGGTTTTTCAAAAAAATAAAATCCGCACCATCGGTTTTTGCGTCGGTTTCGGTTTTTCGGTTGCGGTTTATTGCGGTTTTTCTTTTATCGGTTCGGTTTTTGCTCACCCCTAGTTAATGTAATGTGACATGTGTAAACTGTAAAGTAATGTTTGGGTATTTGTGATATAATTGGGCTTTACCTTGTAAACAGGTCCAAACCCACCTTCACCAATCTTGTTTGCGGAGTCAAAGTTATGTGTTGCAGCTTTGATTTGTCGTAGACTGTAATAACCCGTTTGTAATTCAAGAGCTCGAAGTTCTATAAACAAGACACGTACGTATTAGAAATAATAAACCTACTATAGAGTATAGACATAAGTTGTAGAAAGATTTGAGTTCAATTAAAAACACTAGTGGTTCTTGAAAGACAAGTGCTTATATAGTTAGTTTACTAACCTTTGTCTTCTTTGTCTCCTCCTAGATAACCTAGCTTCCAAAGAACAGCTAAAATCAACAGGACAAATGCACAACAACCAATCACAATTCCAGCTATAGCTCCGGCAGATAGGCCACCTGTTGAAACCTTGAAGTCTACAAGGAGGGAGAAATGAATAAATATGTTAGAATCGCTCTTATCTATTCACTTTTTTGTTCTTTATTTGGTCTTTCTATATACAAGTATAGTATAAATTTTATTTTCACAAAGGAGCTGAATGCTAAGAAAGGAAATTTACTAACTTGGTGTTATTGTGATGGCTGATATAAGAGGACCATATACACCTCGATCTGGAATTGCAGTAGTCCCCTTCCCTGTCCAATACAAATGTATCTCTATCGTGCTACCATTAACAATAATATTGTCAAAATCTCTATAGATTCCCCTTCCAGTACCATTAGCTGCTTCCACTATGTTAAAATCTTTCAGTTTCAGATCCCCCTATGTAAAAACACCAAATTACATTCATAACTAATTCACCCATCAAATTATACAAAATAAATAAGTAAAAAAAATTAGAGTTGTGACTCACTTGAATCGAGACATCGAAAATGCGCCTTCCCAGGCTACTAAATGTCATATCATCAGAGTACATTATTTCAGCAAAGTGGAGTCGGACTTTGTAGCTACCGGTTCTCAAACAGAGTCCATAGTATCTAAGGGAAGTAGGAGAAAGACGGGCGGATCTGTATACATCGCCACCTGCCACGTTGTTAGTTCTTGTGACAAATGGAGCGTTATCGTTGCCCATGAAAACACCGTTGCTGCTATAAGCCCATCTCTCACCCGCAGGATTAAAATACGACCGCTCATCTGTCAAATCTTGTTCGTATTCATTTCCCTCAAAATCTAAACTCGTTCCACCACAATTAATATATAATTCATAACCTGCAATCGTAATGGAGATCAAGATGTAAGATGCTTCTCGGTTGTGCAATTGGCTGGTTTTGAGAGATTAGTCTATGTGATTGTAATAATTTTGTGTTACAGTGAAAGACGATTCAACAGTATCCATAGGTAATGGAAAGAAAATGTTTTACGGTTGGGGTTTCTGCTGCAAGTAAGTCCGTCTGTCATACACCACGAATTTCTGCGAGATAAATTCATGTTTAGCAACGTTACTAGAATGATTCCATAACAATATTGTTTTAGGTTGGGGACAGAAACATACGAGTTGCTTGCTTCAGTAGATGAAAGGGCAGAAACTAGATTCCTGTGAATGGATTGAAAGTGTAAGTGAAGGAAGAAAGAGAATGTTTTTATTTGGTAAAGAAAATAAAACTTACAAGCTAGATGGCTGACAGTTCCTTTGTTGTGACTGTGTAAAATTGTTGTAGGATAAATCACTGCAGAAAGAAAATATTTAATGATATTGTAACCATATATAAATACATGAAGTAATGTTGATTGACGAAGGGGAAGCACTAACATCTTTCTATTATTGAAAGCGAATGCCCATCCAGGAATGTCTCCAGATAGCGAGTTGTTATTAAGAAACCTGAATTTATTGAAAATATTCCATTTCAAATTTAACTGAAAAATGTAAAATATGCAGGCAATTTGATCAAATCTTCTAACTAGTTAGTTACATACACAGTGTCAAAACTCAGCCTCCCAATTGAATCGGGTACTATACCAGTCAACCTGTTGAAGCTTAGGTCTCTGCAAAAAGAGGGTTCAGATAAATTTAGAAGTATGATTAAATATATCTTTAAAATTCCATATTTAGGGACAAATTCTGGTCGAAGTCAGATTGGTGTTGTTATATGACTCACAAGTTTTTCATGCCACTCATCTGTACTATGTACTCGGGTACTGAACCTGTAAGCAAGCAATTTCTCAAATGCCTGCAGCAAAATTAATAAAAAAAATAATGTCAAGTTTCTATATGAAGTTAATAAGTAAAATTCTCCCCCTTTCTGTAACACAGACATAAAATCAACTTACAGTCTAACCATCCGTGTCAGATTTTGCAGATTGGGAAAGGTTGTACTTGGTCCAGTCAAATCAGTTATCCTCCTGAAAACCAAAATGCAAAATTAAAGTAAGTTTCATTAGTGGATGAAAAATTAATTAGTTAAAGTTTTTGACACAAAGTCGACTCACAATTCTTGTAAGTTTGTCAACAGAGATATTGTAGAAGGAATAGGTCCCTCCATCGATGTTCCTTGCCAATCACTGCATGATAGATGATTTTATTAAAATGAAAAACCAGAAATATTTGGAAAATGGAAAAGATTTATAAAACTAGGATAATATACTCACAGTCTTATGAGCCTTGTCCAGTTTCCAATTAAGCTAGGTATTCTCCCTGATAATGTACTCCCATCTATCCTACTGCAAGTATTGTGAACAAGTTTAAGTCACCAGGAGAATGATTAAATCTATTTAGCTAAAAAGAATATAAAGATCACTACTACTTACAAATCTTCTAGATTAGTCAGATTGCCATACGATTCTGGAATAGTTCCAGTAAAATTATTTGCAGAAAGAAGGCTGCAAGGAGAGCTTTCAATGAGACAACTAATAAATGACAACAGGCAAGTGGAATCAAGATTAATAAAAAGTCTTACATTCTTCTCAAGCGAGTCAAACGACCGAGGCTTGGAGGAAGCTGTCCTGAAAGCAAATTGTCTTCCAAGACCCTGTTATAAGGTCTCAGATGTAAGAGTAGTGAAAAGTGTGATACATTATACACATATGGAGTAAATTAAGATTCTACTCACAGCTCCTCGAGTGTAGGGATGTCACCTATTTCTCTTGGTATTGGACCACTAATGCGGTTTCCCAAAAGACTTCTGTAAAGAAAGAATTATTAGGAATATGTTTTAAAAAGAAAAAAAAGAGGAAAAGACCAAGTTGGTAGGTAAGTCTTACAAGATGGTAATGCGAAGCTGACCAAAACGTGCTGGAATTGTTCCATTGATATAGTTGCGGGAGAGATCTCTGTGTGACAACATAAAATCACTTGCTCACTTTTTTTTTCAATAACAGTGTGCACTTCAATGGAAGACATATAGATTTATCGAACTATGTCGCCATAATAAATTGTTGAGATTTGACTAAAATAAAAGAAGTGGTTGTCCAACATTGATGGCAAGACAAAAGATAGAATGGACTCATGCTTATGAAAGGAGTCCAAAGCTTTGGTGTCAAATTGTCTCAATTAAATATAGTTTAAATATTTGATTAAGTGTTTCATTCTTCTCTTGCTTTAGAGTGTATAAAGTCGTAAGACAAATCTGTGGACAGTGTGAGTGTCATTTGGCGTTGGCTTGAGAGATTAGTCTGCGTGATTGTTCTAATTTGGCACACAGTGGATGCCTCTCGAGGCCTGTGGTTTTTCTCCGGTTTCGAAAATTTCTATGTATATTCTTTGTGTTCAAATTTCTCTATTGTTTTTCATTGGATGAGTTGTTGGAAATCTTTTTGAAACCATTTTCCCAAGTTGATAACATTGGTAAAGCCATTAGATAAACGTTATCTTAAATGTAAAAAACCTAGAAACTAAGTGTGGTTGATATATCCGGTTGATAAAAAGTTGAATATGTTGACTTACATTTCTTGCAGAAAAGTGAGGTTTGCAAATTCTTCAGGTAGAACTCCTGTCAAATTAAGTCCCTTTAACTGGCTGATATTCGACATAAAATACTCAGAAGTATTAGTGAAAAAATATAAAAATGTCATTTAGACTTTAGATAGAAAAAGACAGATTCGTACATGCGTGTAATGTGGCAAACAGTGCTGTTACAGCTGCAGGTAACATTGCTGCCAAATCTCATAAGCCCTTGCCCATTATCGGAATTTGTGTTATTAAGCCCTCCACCTCCGCTGCATGAATCTGAAGAAACCCGCCAATTGTCGTACTGTAGACTTGATGCTATCGACTGTAGAGCTTCAACTGTTATAGAACATAGATGAGCACAGCGGATGTTAAACGACAGGCATCGTAATTTATTTATTTTTCTAGATTACAAAATCCATCATTTAAGTAGTATGAAATTAAATATTTGTCCCTTACTTAATTGGAAAAATTAGCGATGTCCGACTTTTGTATTGAAATCTTAAAGTTTATGTTATATCAGGTAATCTTTTACCAGTTGACGTATCACTAAAATTTAGACCACATGCAATGATTGTTTCTCTAATATACCCTACGAATTATTAAATTGTTAAGCAACAAAATATTACCAATTAAGTTGATCCAGTCCGAGATGATCATAAATTTATAACATAATATACCTACCCACATGTGTGAATAATCAAACAAGCTAATAGAAAGATGATTAAACATGGTTTAATGACATAAAAGTCTCTATCTAAGTTTGGTGGAAATGTTTGATTTTATCTTTATATTTATTTTTGGTTCATTAAATCCAGAAGTTTGCAACTTTTTTTTTTGACCATTTTGTGTATTTCTGGTTAATGAAAGCATGTTAGTTTGACAGAAATATTCCGTTTTTATTCTTTTTTTCTAGTTCATTAAAGCCTTTAAGTTTGCCACTAAAAGATAATCTACAAAAAATTGTAAAACTGCAAAAAAAAAGGTTGCAAACGGCTATATTGAACCGGTAATATGGAAAACGGTAAAACCGAACATTTCTATCAAACTTAAAAACTTGTATGTAATGTAATTGGGTCATTAAACATTGCATTGCATGTTTTGCTTCGATATATATATATATATATATTTTAATAGAAGAAGATTATAATATAATATACATTTTTTGCATTGATTGATTCGATTTTTACTTCTGACTTCTTTTTCAAAATATTTCAAGTTTGACCGAGTAGGCATTTTTTTTAATATAGCATGTTTGACCATTATACGCCATCGTCTCAGTAAATTTACTATTATGTCCCACGGCCAAATAAAAACGCCTGATGCCGGCCACTCAACCGGTTAGCCAATTGTTGACATATTCAAGCTTAAAAAGTAGGCTCATTATTTGTAGACGGCAGAAACAGAAAATGGTGTCCAGTCCATATAAATCAAAACAAAATCGGTTTTGAACTGTTAGCTAGGGATTATATTAATATTAATATATTAATATTAAATATAATCCAACAGGCAAAAACGAAGAAGACGACAAATAGACACAACAAGATAATGCAAGATACGTATTTGCTTTTGTAGCCTAATAATTCCTTGTAATGTACTGTTCGAGATATAAATGAAAGAGTAGGTGATGAAAATATCCACCGTGTAAGTCTACGATAATTCTCTAATAAGGAAACAAATTAATGAAGAAGAAGAAACGAATAGTAAGTTACGATTTACGAAACAGAAGGAAATCTCAAACGAAGTTTATGGAATGTTTGCTTGTTTTACTTTTTACTCATTAACGATTTCTACATCTTCGATCAAATTGGCATTACAGGAGTTTATGTGGATATCAGTCTTAATGACAGGTTAGAGAGATAACACAGGATAAGGTTGATTGTCAAGGTCCAAGGATCGAGAAAACTTTTTCGCCTAATCCACTTTTTTTTTCAAACGTAACTCCATATCAGAACAAAGGGAACACAAATCGATTGATACTTTAAAATTACAAGTGAACGAATCAAAAGAGGAGTAGACCTTCTTCTGCAGGCAAAAGTTGAGCGGCAGATCTGAAATCATACAGAAACGGCAATAGAAATAGAATAACCGTGAGGAACTTCAATCCGGCCGTCGCCGTTGCCGGTCTCCGGAGAGACGAGTCCATCATCGTCCCCGTTATAAAACTTACGCCGACGAGGAAGAAAGAGATGATGGTAAGAGATTTGAAGGTAAGGGTTTTCACAGAGTGGAAATGAAGTTGAAAATCGGAAATGGAGGATGGGAGTTTGTACGGATTTATAGCGTTTGAAACTTTTACGTTGAAGGACAAACTGCTACTTATTGTCGTTGATTTTGACCATTTTTCAACTTAATAGTAATATCGCGGGCTAAAGTTGACATTTGACTGTTTAATATTGTTGATATTAGCAATCTCTAATAATTTTTAAAATAAATTACATAAATGGTCATATATATACTTTATAAAAAATCACAAATTCAGTATATAACTCCTTTTTTTTTTTTTTTTTTTTTGCACAGATGGTCCATTTGTTTTATTTTGTTGCGGTGTTGGTCCGTAACCAACATAAAATGGTTGAAATACCCTTTTCTTATTTATTAATTATTATTACATATTTAATTAATTCTAAAAAAGGTAAAGAAAAAACATGGCCACACCATAACCCCAACACCCCCTCACCAACCACATTCACTTTCTTTTTTCACATAAAGGTAAGATTAAATAAGGCTATCCGGTATGGGATAATAGAGGATGCGTGAGTTCCGAGTTGGCATGCCAAGAGACGCGTGAACACCACCCCATGGTCTGGTGGCTTGGCTGTGGAGTCTCTACGAAGATGAAGGAAGATGATGATTGCTATTGGCTGCCTTATTTTTTGATTGTTTGTAGCCGTTGCAACATTAAAAAAAATCTTTCAAATTTAAAATTACTCTTTATATACATACACTTACACATATTTTTACATCTAACACACACACATTTTCAATAATATGGATAAATTTTTAGGTTTAATTTATTCTTTTTCATCCGATGATGATGATGATTTTGATGATGAGTTGGTTTTGCACACGTTGTCCGCCACACGCGGCATGGTGCAACAAAGAGGCGAAAGTTTAAATGTCGAGAAGAAGCGTAGAATTCCGATTAACCGGGATCGTATCGTGGCACACTGTCTTTTGGTACGTGATTACTTTGCCTTCGATAGTTTATACGACCTATCAAAATTCGAAAATCGTTTTCGTATTAATAGAAATTTATTCGTACGTATAGCTAGAGATTTGGCAAACAATTATGAGTTTTTTCAATTGAGATGGGATGTTAGAGGTGTTAGGGGCATGATCCTTGAATCATATTCAGGATCCTTAAATATTTCTGAAGCCTCAGGATCCTTAAACATATCTCATGATCCTGATTATTACCACTAATATTTCTAACACTTATAACGGTTATATTTTGCTTTATTTTTCTCACATGTGTAGAACTAGTCAACACAAGACTCATTCTCAACGGAAAGTCACTTCAACCAAGCTTAAGACCAATGGATATTAAGTCAAACAATGTGCAAATACCTGTTAAAGGTGCATCTCGGAAATCTCGAACTTCTTGTTAATTTATTTAAACTAATAAATAACACTTATAAATAGCACACTACGCACACGATTAGCTCGACCATTACACTTGTACTCATATTATATCATCTTTGTAATCTCAGATTGAAATCAATAAAACACATCAAGGCAGGTGATCATTATCACCTCCCGAGGTTTTATGTTGGAGATCCTATAAAGGATCAAGGGCTTTCCTTGTAACTCACTTATCTCATTTCGATCACTATCTTATACTTGCATTGCACTAACACCACAACCTCTCATACAATTTGGTTGAATAATACTTAATCAATTTTTGACAAAAACAATTTGGCACCCACCGTGGGGCCGTGGTGTTCATAATCATTCGAGATCATGTCTACCCAATGTTTTGGTAAAAAATTACAAAAGTGAAACTCAAGCAAATTGAATGATAGGTTGTGGTGTTTGAATTGATGTAAGCAGAAAATTGTAATCAAGACAACACGAGCGTTTACAAGGAAATCCCTTGATCCTTGCTAGGATCTCCGTCAGAAAACTTTGGGAGGTGATAATGATCACCTGCCTTGATGATTTTATTGATTAAAATTGTTGATTGTAGGGATGAATGTGAAAATGTAAGTATCAGTATCGTGGATGATCTGATTGTGTGTCTAGTGTGTGTAATACAAGTGTTATTTATAGTCTAAACTAAGCAACAAGAAGTCCGATATTCCCGGAATCCTCTAAAATCAGCATAGGAACGTTGTTTGACTTGGTATTCCGGGTCTTAAACTTAGTTGAGATGATTCTCTGTTGAGAATAAGTCTTTCATTAACTAATTTTGCACACGTGTCAATAAGAAATGAGATTATAACCATTATAGGTGTTAGTAAATAATGATAATAATAATAGTTGGGATCCTGAAGTGGCTTAGGATCCTGAGTGCTCTTTGAGATCCGGGATCCTTAGAGGATTGAAGATCTCGCCCCTAACAATTGCCCCTAAAATATGTAACAACTCGAAAATTTAGATAAAATTTTTCATTTAATATTTAGAAATTACAATCATGTTTTGTCTTCCAAAATTCCATTACATCAAATCATATCCAAAAGATCAGAGTATCCAAAACAATAAATAATGGAATACTGGAGAGGGAGTGCTACGTCATCAAGCCGGGCCCTTCCCCTTAGAAACTGAAGTACTTGAAACACCCAACAAACTGTAAGTAAATGCTTAGTGAGTTCCCAAAATACACAAAACATACAACATCATAATACCATGCAACATATATACATATAGAATTGCCATGAACTCCTTCCATGGTCTTCACCTGGAATGCCATGAGCTACCCCCATGGTCTAACATCCAAGGGCCATGGGCTCCCCCCATGGTCTTTACCTGGAATGCCATAGGCTTCCCCCATAGTCTGATAACCAGGTGCCATGGGCTCCCCCATGGTCTTCACACAAGTCATTACATGTCAACTAACACAACCATTGCATATTAATTATTAAGTCCACATATCAAGTAATGGGTCGGCATTGGTGCCTTCGACCCATTACTATAATGAGAAGACTCACCTCAGTCTACTGAAAACAATATCTGCTCGACTACCAGTCCAAAATCTCACACTGGATAAATATACAAATAACCCTAATTAGGATTATAACACAACCTAGTTAAGGGCCCAAAATCCTAAGTCCAAGTCCCTCAATTATGACCCAAAAGTCTTTTCTTCATTAATGGGCCTAGCATCAAAGTCCAAAACTATAATGGGCCACAAGGCCCAAAAGGCCCAACCACACCAATAATGACCCAATATTAAATTCAGGGCCCACAACACCAGCAAGTCTAGGCCCAAAATCAATTAGGGCCCAAAAGGCTCAAAGATCCGTCGGAGGCCCAAGACCCACTGGAAGCGTACGCCTAGCGTACCTCTTCAGTACGCTTAGCATACTAAGCTTATGGGTTGTACACACAACGTACAACTTAGTACGCCTAGCATACAAGCTGCATTGCTCCAAACTTCATTAAGTACTTAATGCACAAAGACACCTTGTCCAAATCCCATTTCTTGATTGCTTTAAAGGTCCTAAGGCATAAAGTTGGCAACTTTATGCCCTTAATTACCATATATGAACCCAACAACCCATTCTATCTCATTAAGACCTGTCCAAAGGTCTTAACTCATGCATGGAGTCATAGAATTCATCAAGTTAACATTTTATACTATAACCAAGCCAAATAACCTCGGATCTAACCTTCTTAACCTCTGGAGTTGCCCAAACTCACAAGAGAGGATTTATGGACTCAAAAGTGGACCTCTAGAAAACCCTAACTCAACAAGCAAAAAGGATAAGCAAGGTGTAAGCTTTTTACCTTCAAAAGTTCTCCAAGATGCTCTAGATGCAAGATCCAAAAGCTCCTGTTAGATGCATTTTATATGCATCTTTTAGCACAATTTCCTACGTATTCCGTTATAAAAAGCTAACTAATTCCCGATTATTCTTATGTATTTCGTGTTTCATGATTATTTTAAAGAATGCCCGTACTGCTCACGTTTGTTATGACTTTTCAGGGCTATTGGAGCACATGGATGATTGCGCGAGTTCGGGATGCGTTAGTGGATGCTTTGGAGCTTAACTGTAGACCAAGGAAGGATGCCGGGAAATGATCAAAACTGCTTGGAATGAGGAACGAAGAAAAAAAGAGCCGAAAAGCAGTATATGCGATCATATCTTGTGTACCTGCGATCGCAGGTTTGCCTTTGCGATCGCAAGTTTGGTCGCAGCTTGCCTTCATGGTTTTTTCGAGCCAAAAAATTCATCAGCTTAGGAAAAGTGATACATGCGATCGCAGGTTTTGCCTTTGCGATCGCAGGTTGGTCAATTTGCGTCGAAATGGCAACGTACTTCATTAAAAAGTCCCGTTACACATTTTGGGTGATACATGCGATCGCAGGTATGCCCTTTTGCAATCGCAGGTGCGGCGTTTTGACAGCTAGATGTATAAATACAGCCTGATACTCTTCCAGTAACCCTAATTGGCGATTTCGGGCGATTCAGAAGCGATTTTCAGAGAGTTTCAAGTGAAGAACGCAGATCTGAAGGAGACGATTCAATTTCTATTCGTAGTTTAGTAAGATTTATCATTTAGATTCTATTTTCACTGTTTGTAATCTGTTTTTAGCCATGTCAGGCTAAAAACTCAGATTTCAGTTTCGCAAGACGTAACCTTTTCGTATGATTAATCATTAGGCACTATGTTTGACTATGATTATTGTTTAGTTTGATCAATTTTGTGTTAAATTGAGTGTTTGATTTTGATTTCAATTTCTGTTGGCCACTTAAATTGTTTGTGAATCATTCTAGTCATCTGGTTGTTTAGATCCGTAAATGTCTAGATTAATTCGTAAAAAGTGACAAGTATTAGATTAATTCTGAATTTAGGGTTAACTCTAATATGAAATGATCAAACAAGTTTTAACGCCTCCGAGCTTATGAGAGGTATTGAACTTTACTGGGAATTACACTGTGTCTAATGCAACTTTTCTTTGTTAATCAAGAGCTTGTTTGATTAATTTAGTAAAAAGTTAGATTTAACTCAAAGAACTTATTTTGATTAAATGATTGTTGTAATAAAGGTCATTAGAGTTTGTTAATGAACTTTAGTACCAGTTTAAACACGTGCATAGTCAAATATTGTGTTGAAGGTTAATTATAT